ATCACTGAATACCTAGCTAGTCCTTAATAATTTTTAAATGGTTGTCTTAAAGTTACCTTTTCACAGATGGGTTCACCAAATCAGAACCCAAATAACATTTGTTTTCTTATTCTATCTTTTGCAACTCTTACTTTATAATCATCCCTGTCCTTTTTATCTTTTATGCTGTTGATTTGTTGGAGAATCCAGGTCATATGTCCCAAGAAGTGTCTAATATTCTAAATATAACTGATTACTCCCGTGCTGTTGTTTGTTACACCCACCCCGGTCTTCCTTTTTCCTGTCAACCAGCTTCATGAAATTCACTGTTTATTTTTTTTAGGTGAAACATTTTTCATGTATGAAGCTCTATGAGCTTCACCAGTTGGCTCAGGTGGCGTCAGTCTGATCGGTCCATTATAAGATTCCCCCCTCAACTTACATCCAATGATTTTTGCATGTAATAATGGAAGCTATCTAAATATTTTTACTAAGGATTGCATAATGGTGATTTTCTAATTCTGTCCTTCATTCTGCATTTTTTAGCTAAAATTCTTCCATAGAGGGTAGCTCTTCCTCATCACTTATTTGGTTACCCTAAAATAGAATTCAATTCATGTAGAAAGACAAAATAAACATTTGATTAGTTTTTCTTAATTTATGAAAAAAAGTGCAAGCCCTGGCCAGTGTGGCTCAGTCGGTTGAGCATTGTTGCCTGCCCTGAAAGATCGATCCGATCGCTGGATCAACTCCTAGTCGGGGCACAAACCCAGGCTCCCCCTGGTTGGGGTGTGCAGAGGAGGCAACCAATTGATGTTTCTCTCCCTCTCCCTTCTGCTCTCTCTAAAATAAATAAAAACATATTTAAAAAAAAAAAAAAAAAGAGGGCAAGACCAAAAACACAAGGCTCTGCAGAAAATGCCAAATTGTTTTCCAAGTGGCTACACCAATTTGCACCCTCCAGAAGTGCTAGGTAATTGCTCTGTTAACCCTCTTCGTCACCGACACATGATATGAACAAGCTGGTTTTTCCACTGTGGTGACTTATAAATGACCTCTCATTGTGGTTTTAATTTTCATTTCCGTGATTACTAATCACATTGGGCATCTTTTATTGTTTGTTCAGATTTCCTTTCTGTGAAGTAATCTATTAAGATTTTCTTCATTTTGCTATTGGTTTATCTTATCTGCTTTTTCTAGTAGATTGTAGGAATTCTTTGTATTTTTATATTCTGAATATTGGTGAATCCTTTGCCTTTCATCTGTCTTGAAAAATATCATCTTTCAATGTGTACGTCTCCTTTCACTTCCTTTACATGGATTTTGGTGGTCAGAAGTCAGAAGTCTTGATAGTCAGATTAATGTATTTTATTAATTTTTCCCCCTGAGGTTTGCATTTTTTGTGTATTTTGTTTAGCAAATTTCCACCTTTCTGGAGGTCATTTGCTTTTTACTTTATATTTTTTAACTACCTGAATTTAATATTGTATATGGTAGTTAGCTAGGGGTCCATTTTTTATTTTGTTTTTCCACATCACTAATAATTTGCCTTAGCAACAATTATTGAAGGTCCACCATTTCCTCTCACACATCTGCAACACCATGTACCTCATAAGTTAAGTTGTAAACGTGTTGGTTTGTTTCTGGGTTCACTCCTTTGTTTTATTAATCCCTCCCTGAAATGGTAGAATCTTGCTCATTTGTTATATTTTCATAATAATTCTTGATATAAATAAAAGCAATTTATTCACCTTCTTTTTCTTCTTCAGAAGTATCTATGCTATGCTGGCCCTTTACTCTT